CCTGGGATTGATATCAGTCCTGAGATTTTCTACCCGTACCTCTCTGAATGAATAACAAAGTCCTTTTGAGTATCAATCTCAAGAAAAGGTACTTTATGAAGAAAAAAAGCCCAGAAAACTGATTGCTACCTTCAGTCTTCAAACTTGATCAATCGATTATTGTCAGCACTTTGAATCTTGATCAAAGAACCAAGAAAAAAAAAACTGATCGACACCTCCAATCTTGATCACTCAATTCCTGTCTGATTCTTCCTGATTACAAGAAGCTCCACATGATTCCTGCTAAAGCCTTCTTGCAATCTCCAAGAATCAGCCGAAATAAGGATCTTTTTGAACTTTCAGCCCTAAACAATTCTCATGTGGTTGGCTGAATTAAATCCACATGAGAAACCCTAGATCTAAGGCTCTGATACCAACTTGAAAGAAGAAGAACTGTTTACTGTATTACAGGTTTGAAGAGAAGAAGAGAGAGAGAGAGAGAGAGAGAGAGAGCGAGAGAGAAAAGAAAGAAGGGGTTTAGTGGTGAATGATCTGCTTCCCCATACACTTCTTTATTTATAGCTTTTAGGATCCTTACAAGACAAGGAAATAAACAAAAAATAGAAACAATAAGGCCAGCCAGCCCAACTTAACAGAAATTAGAAACTTAATAACAAAAATTAGCAACTACTAAAAAGAAATTAGAAACTACTAATAAAAGAAATTAGAAACAACTAGGTGTGGGTATGAAACCACACACACTAGAGCGTGGCTAACCAACTATTTCTTCAGAATATAATAGTAATTACATCTAGCACATAAGAAAAAGTAAAAAGACTAGACTACCCTTCTATAGTCGACTCTAACAGGCTTTGTTTTGCTTGTTTACAAGAAGTAAATTGATGTGGTTCCCACTTTACATGAAAGAGAATGGACATGGGAGGAAGGAGAAAGGTAGGGAGAAAATTGATGTGATCTCCAATAGGGGTGGACACGAGTCGAGCTTTTCACAAGCTATTCGAGCTCGGCTTGGTTTATCCCAAATATATAGTTTTGTTTGTTAATCGAGCTGAGCTCGAGCCCAATAAAACTCGGCTCATGAGGCTCACAAGCCTAATCGAGCCTATATATAAATCTTATACATATAAAAAATAATATATATATATATATATATATATATATATATAAATAAACAATATATATACAAATATATAAATGAACAATAAAAATATTATATATAATAATATATATATATATATTTATTTTTATATGTATAATAATAATTAGTTTTTATAATTCTTAATTTTTTATATGTAAAATAAAAAATAATTTTGATATGTATATTTTTTTATTTTTATAGGAACTTTGGCTCTAGTTGAGCTCGAACTTATGAGCTTTTGAGTTGAGCCGAATTCAAGCTCAAGTCTCTAGCTCAAATCGAGCTCAAGCCTCATAGTTTTTTGGCGAGCCGAGCTCGAAAGCTAGATATTTGGCTTGGCTCAGCTCGATCCACCCCTAATCCCCACTTTATATGAGAAAGAATTAAGGTTGAAGGAAAGTGGTGCAAAATTTGCACTAGTTTTTAGATGGTTCCAAATGGATGCAAAATTTCTATCTGGTTAAAATCTGCATTGCAAACAAATGGAGCCTAATGAGAAATTGCTACTCAAATATCAGAGGTATCCTTTGTAGAGGCATGTTACAACCACTAGAACCATTCAATAATTAAATCTATGCAGCAGGCAAAGTACAAGACTAACAGATTTTTAGATAGATTTTCTTGAATATAGTAAGTTATTATTTATTAAGAAAAGGAAGAAATCTATGCAACAGACTTTTTTTTTCTTTATTTTTTTGAATATGATAATTTAATCTAGCTTTTTAGACAGATTACTAAGCCAAAATTATAGGTCCAGCTATACTGTTGTAGCTACAGAAAACTTTCAAATAATTCGTGCAATCTTCCACAAGCAATCAACTGAAACCAACATAGTTGGCTAGATTGAAATGACAAAAGGAAAAAGAAATAACTGTCTTGGGTTGCTGATGTCAAGCATAAAAATCCTATGATACCTAGATATGGATAGACACAGGCACAGATATGAGAGAAGGGGATACAACTCATTATTTACATCATCTTTCTATGTTTTCAAAGATAGGTTTCATTGCTAACAATTAAAAAAAAAACAGTCTCAGTTTCATTACACAAGACTTGCATCTTGTCAATATTTAGAAGTGTTCTTTTGGCATCCAGTGTCATACCAGTACATATCATGTCTGGTGCCAGTAGACTAGCCATGCATACATATCTGAGTATCATAGCATAAAACTTCAACTAATATTCAACAGTTCTCCGAATCATGCAAGACCATTTCTGGAACTTCAAAAAGCTTCTATGTAATCGAAATCTTCTGACCTAAATTGTTACAAATGCCACATGTGATTACACAATTTTGAAATATTTAAAACTATTTTTTTTCTGGTTTTTCTTCATAAAATTCACAAAAATCAAGAAATAGTCCTGAATTGATTTGATTTCATTGTGAAAACACCATAAATATTGTTCTACCAGAATCCAGGTTTTTACTTCAAAGATGAGCAAACTGATTATAAACCTACTGAAGTTATCTTGAAGACTGCTGACATCAGCATGGGTATAGAGCTTAGAATCATAACAACACTGTATTTCCGACTCTTGAAGCTCTAATACCAACTATAATATGCATGTGATGCCTGCAAGAGTATACAAAGAGAGAGGAGAAGGAAGAAAGAGAGTTTCAGAGGAGAAGAAATCAGGGTCTATCTAGTATCGGCCCTATCATATATATCTATATATATGCATATATATAAAACACAAATTAAAAGCAAAAAGAAGAAACATACCCTTGAAGATAACAATGTACTACTACAGTAGAAAAGTTTGGACAACCTGTTTTGATATAAAAACTGTAAAAGAAAGAAGAAAAGAAAGAGAAGAAAAGGTTTCAGCTGAGAAAGAGAGAGGAGAGATAAAAGAGACTGGGAGAAGCTCAGAATTAGGTCTGGCCACCCCTTTCATTAGATTATATTCTCATAAATAAAAGAGAGTACAACGACAAGTATGCCCTTAGTAAGTCGGCTACTTGTGAGAGCTTAAAAACACTCTTAACTTAAAACATAAACTAATGGGCCTAAGGTCCAATAACTCCCTAACTATGCTATGTAAATAAAAAAACATGTTATATCAGCCCAAAACTCAACAACTACAAAGTGTATTACATCATTCAACACACTAAGAAGTTTGATTAGCTAGTCTCTCAAAGACTCAAACAGGGTCTAGTATTTTCATCATGAAGCTATTTGTTTAAGTTGTAAGAGAAATTATTAGGTCTTTGAATTCTGTGAGCAAAGTGGTCACAAAAACATTGATCCAGGATTGTGTTCCATTCGGAGATGGATTCATCTTCTACTTCTAGGTAGAGGAATGCCGTCATGACTCTTTGATCAACCGAGGTTGGTGGTAGGTAGCAAAGTCCTTAGTCATGTAGATCCACTGCATTAGGTATTCTACCAAAACTAGATAAATCAAGTCTTAGGATCTTTGTTTGGATATCTCTGCCAAGATTATACTAGTTTAACTGTGCTTCAGCTTCTGTCCTACTCTATGAAGTTACTGAACAATCTGCCAAAGCTTACCCTTCTCACAAGCAATAGATGCTGATAGTCAGTGGGTCAGTGCAATAATCTTTTTGAGGTGTTATGCAAATATTTAACCTCAATGATTAGATGTTACTGTGTAGCCAGATATTGTTCCCTTGTTTTTTTATTTAACCTTTTTCTTTTTTTTTTTCAACCTAAGTTGTTGTAAATTGTTAATTGAATAAAGCAAAATACAAAAGAAGGGAAACTGATAAGAGAAGGGCCACTTTGAGGGGTAGGGACCTCCTAAAGCACAAGCCCAGTTTATAATTAACTCTACAACATCCCATGGTAAGAACATTCCATCCATATGATTTAGTAGTAATAAGAAAACCTACTTGAAAAATCAAGTAAAAAACCTGCTTCAAATATTTCATTGATAAATATAAAAGAATATTATTGCTGAAGCATGTCTTTTTTCTGTCTAGGGAAAATTATCCCTTTAAGCTCTTTTATACAGAAAAAATTCATTTTTGCAAATTCCATTATCATTAGCCAAACATGCTTTAGCAGCATTGCTTCTCTTAAAATATTATTTAGCAAATATATTATACTATGAAACAAAATTTCTAGTGAAATCCAGTTTCTTAATCTTGGTTACCTGCTTTAAATGCCTAATAAGTGTTCCATTATGACACTACTACCATGCAATGGAAGCTCCTTCTGTTTGTAATTTGTCGTATGCTTTAGAAGGAAGCTAAAGAGACATAATTTTTGAGAATTAGAGAAGTTTATACAGCACTATTAAAGCTAAAGTTTTCAACTTACTATATTTTTGGACACTATTTTTTAAGCTGAAGGGCTCTCAGAGTTTCCGATCCTAAGATTGAATGGAACCAAATCATTTTGACTTTTTTTCTGATTTATGTTTTTCTTTTTCTTTTTATCTGCAAGTTCTTGTGTATAGCATGTTTTTCCCAGCATTAGCACATTAACCTTTACTTTTCAATAATAAAAATTAAAAGTTCCTCTTCTGATTATCTTCTTATGGTACTCCTATTTGCAGCATTGGTTACAGCATTCAATCTTGAGATTGGAATTACTGGTGCTATATTGACAAAGTTGGATGGAGATTCTAGAGGTGGAGCTGCTTTAAGTGTCAAAGAGGTTGACTATCTCTTAATCTTGGATATTCCTTGTATGGGATTTTTTTTATACATCTGATGAAATAAGCAATCATACTTATGTTCTTAAGTCCTCATGTTTTAATGGGATTTGTGAATTTGATCAAGTTCTTCTAATTTTCTTTCTTTAGGAAACTCTAAATTCCAGACTCTTTGTAAGGTATCTTATTTGAAGATTTTGTAGAGAACACTGATGTGGACCCCACAGCTGTGGTCCCCACTGTGTTCGTAGGACAGTATGTGTAATTATTTGTTTCAGTCATGGTAGTGTCAGTTGGAGTTAGTTTGTTATTTCAGTTGTTATTGTTTTGGAATGGTAGAATACTGATATGTTTCATTCTATTGCCAATGGGCATATTTATACAGTAAACTACTGCAATAAATAGAAAGAAAGAAAA